CACTGGGGATACAAATACCAACAAGAAATACATTCCCTGCCTTCATGGAGCTTACATTCTAATAAGGCCAAATAACACATATAGATAGGGGTAGGCCCATGCATTTTTTCTCCTTAATAATATTTTATTTTTTCCAATTACATGTAAAGATAGTTTTCAACATTCACTTTTATAAGATTTTGAGTTCCAAACTTTTTTCTCCCTCCCTTCCTCTCCTCTCCCCTCTCCAAGACCACAAGCAATCCGATATAGGCTACTGGTAAATGTTTAACACTTGTCTCTCCAGAAAAAAAAAATGTAAGCACGACATACTTTTAAGTTTAATCTGTATTATTGATGCTTTTTAAAGTCTAGACAATCAACAAAGCAATAAGTCAAGCCCCATTTTGTAGTGATTTCCCAGGTTTAAATAGCTACACTCAAAATTGAACCATTGGCTCTGGATGGTTTGAGGTGGGCTCCAGCACACCGCCATGTATAGAGGAGTGGTAGGAGGCAAGCAATATTTTGGATAGGGAAGTCAGAGGGAATGGATTGGAGTCACTGAGCAACTGACTGACATGCCTCTTCCAGGAATGGTATAGTTGATTTGATTACTGTTCCAGCTAGGGCTAGAAAGTGGAAGGTGGAAGGTAGAGGAGGAAGGAGAGGCACCTCAGCCTTCATGGAGATGGCTGGGAAGTGGCCAAGATTTTGGAATGGAATTTTAGCATGGAATCCTAATGTCCTCACAGAGAAGTGGCCAACGATGTGACTTTCTCAGTCCCTGAGCCCCAAAGGAGGAGCTGGCTACCAAAAGTGTGGCAGAATTTGACTTAACCCAGATTCAGGGTGTGACCTTCCAGCTGGCCCAGAACTAGACCCAACCTTGCTCTCTTAGAGAGCAAGACCATGAGAAGTATGGTATCAGCAGTGACTCTGGGTAGCTTGCCTAGAAATAAAGGGCCAATATGACCCAGAGCAGGGATTCAGCTCCACTAGGCCCCAGCACACAGAAAGTGCTATGAAAATGTTAGCAGGAGTCCATAGGCAGTCCCAGCTAGCTATTCTTGGCTCTCTCATCCAGGCCTGCCCTGACAGAAGGACTCAGCCAGAATGTGCCATTTTTGGCAGCTAGGTGGCTCAATGAATAGAGTTCTGGTCAGGAAGACCTGAATTCAAATCCAGCCTCAGACACTTACTAGTTGTGTGACCCTGGGCAAGTCATTTAATCTCTACTTGTCTTAATTCATGGGAGAAGGAAATGCCAAACCACTCCAGCATCTTTGCCAAGAAAACCTTATAGACACTATTGCCATCCCGTGATCCACTGAGTCACAAAGAGTCAGACATAAATGAACAACAGCAGCAAATGTACCTGTTGTTTTCACCAACAGAATGTAAGCTCAAAAGGCAGGAACTGTTTCACTTCTGTCTATGTATTCCTGAAGCCTAGCACATTTTTTCTTTTTAACTGGGTGATTCAGAGACATTAATGCTCATCAGGAACTGTCTTTTCTATTTGTGTTCCCCAGGCTTAGAACATTGCTTTGCACATAGTAAGCAATTATTAGTATTAGTAGTATTCCTTCATTTGTTAATAAATATTTTTTTTTATTAAAAGTTGAAGGAACAGGAAGAGGAGAGGGAGGAACAAGTAATTACCATGGTTAATTAGGTGGAAAGTGAAGGCCAGGCCTTAAATTCCTCTAACTGATAGAACCTGGCAACTGGAAATGGCTGCTTGGTGGAGACGAGGGAGGCCAGAGACCTTGGAATGGAGGGGATGTCCAGATTTTTAGCCTAGGAGACGCACCCTGCAAGTTCAAAAATGATTCATTCCACTGGGGAGAGAGAGGGTTTGAGGTTCCTTTGGAGTAACAGTGCAGTGGCGTGGGGATGTCCTGAAAAGCTGAATCCATCCCTGAGAAAGACAGGGCATTCAGGCTTTAGTTTCCCTCTTCTCATCTCTGCCTATTTCTCTGACTCCAGGAATTTGGAGGGAGAAGGGCAAAGGGAGGTGTGTTGGGTAGGGGGTAAGGGGCAGGGATGGGGGGGGAAGGACATCACTGAGGCCAAGAAGCCCCCTTGCCCACAGCAGGGCAGTCCTGGGGCCAGGCAGTCCAGAGCTGCAGTGTTCTCCTAAGGCGGGGTGAGGAGGTGTGGGGAGGGGGGGTGGGATATCAAAGTTGGAAGAGAGGGGGCATGTCAGCCTGGCTTTGTGAGCCTGGCTCCCATCAATGCATGAAAGCCTTGCTGTACAAACTGCATTCGATGCGCTTCCAACCTTCATTCCCAATTGGTCACGGCCTGGCCCCCAGCTGCATTCCTAGGCTGGAGGAGGGAGAGGGGACTGGCCTCTTTGTTCTCCCCAAATCAGGTCCCAGAACCATGACAGGCTGATCATATTACCCAGCCGAGGTCAACCTCGAAGAAATGACCCCCTTATCCTTGCTCCTCCCACCCCTTTTTCTTCCCCTCATCCCCATCCTACACCTCATAGGGACAGAGCTATCCACCCCCCACCCTAACCTTCTCATACCTGCTGCATTCCCATTGAGAAAGCCCTAGTAGGGCACAAAGTCCCCTAGCCTAGAGTCATATAGCCACATGTTCTAATGACATCCAGGAGCCCCACTGACTGATTAATTAAGCAGCAGACTCTACTTGCACCAAAAAACTACGGGGCAAACCCCTCATCTTTATGGCTGGTCTAGTTTTAGACCATCTTTTTTAAAAATTAAATTCTACTTTTTGCTTAAGTAGCAGACATTTATTTCCTCTGCCTCTTGTCTCCTCTCCTCCCCCACTGGGAAAGAAACCTTTATAACAAATATGCATGATCAAACAAAACAAATTCTCACCGTGTCTAGAACTGCATTGTACCATCTTTTAGGGAATGGGGCAGCTGTGGGCCTGAGCTGTTAATGGACCCTGCAGAGGCCAACCTGGGCTTACCCTAGAGGGCACGCCAGCCTCTGGATTAGCCTTGGAGTCAGTTTACCCTTCAAAGGCACCCAGGCCTAGGGTCACCACTTAGGCAGAAGTCTTCCAGGCTTATGAGTAAGGCTAGGCCTCTTACCTTCTTCACTAGAGCTGGCAGCAGTCTGGGAACTCCCCTCTCCCTCTTCTGTGAGCTTCAGATTTCAACCCAGTACTACCTTCTTAGTTATACACTGTCCTGCACTGTTTCTTATTGTCGGATATGTGTTATCCTTATATTCTCAACCAAAGTGTTAACTATTTAAAGACTGTACCTGGAGCAAATTCCATTTTTTTTTTGTAGGGGATAGGGGGGAGGGTCTGCATGGCAGCAACAGGCAAGAAGGACAGTGTGAGCACAGCTGCAGTTCCCTAAGAAGGGAACTGGTTTCCCATCTCCCACAGAGTACAATCCATTCTCTCAAAGGTGTGGGGACAGAAGATGGGCCCTGGGAAAAGGGTGCCATGTCAACAAGACCACAAGTTGTTGTCATACACCCGAAGAGGACTAGAAGGCAAGCAGAGGGTGATGGGCACTATAAGGAGGAAGCATATCTCACCCCACTCTACTGCTGCCTCAGTGTTGGCAGCCTGAGATAAAACCCTATTTGTGCTATAGTAGTTATGGCTCTGTTTAATGGTGAGATCAGGAGTATGCTTTTGTAAACCCACCGGTCCTTCCTCTGCAGTGCTTCAAACAGGGCATAGCATATATGCAACAAACATCTGAATGACTGAGGCAGTATGTGGAGTGGGCCTTCTTTGCCATTTCTTCATGAATGAGCGTGCTGAGGGCTTGCACTTGTCAGTCCGTAATGATCTGGTGGCGGGTTATAGTCTCATTTCCAAGCACGCTGGGGAAAGGATAAAACTCGAGGAGGAGACATGAACTGTCCTATGTTGATTCTGGGTTTCATTCCTCTCAGCAGTCCCTGGTGGTGGGAAGGAGATCCCATGAGGCAGGCTGCATCCTTGGTGTAAACCCTCAGGGTTTTTCTTAGGGAGGCTCCTCCCAATTTGGACTTCTCTTTCCAATTCTTCATCTCCCAGGAATGAATTTATCCAGTCTGGCTAGGCCTAGAGCAATAGCCTTTCTTGTTGGAGACTAATGAGGACAGGGTTAGTTAGAATGGAGAAGTGGAGTAACCCATAGAACCCCAGAATGTGAGCACTAGGAAGGACCTTAGAGGCCATCTAATCCACCCCCTCCTTTCACAGTTGAGAAAACTGACACTTGGGGACATGAAATGACTTGTCCAGAGTCATACAACTAGTAAGTGGCAGAACTGGCATTTGAACTCAGATCCTCTGGTGCTATATCCAGTGCCCTTGCTAGTTCACCAAGTCCCAGTCAGTCAAGCTTTTGGGGAGTAAGGGGCAAGGGTGGGAGCAGCAAATGCCTGGCAGGTCTAGTTTCAAGAAGACCAAACATACCTCCCCCTGAATATCAGCCACTGAATATCTTTTAGGTGTCTTCCAGGAGTCTAACTGCCTTCCTCTCCCCCGACCCTGGGGACAGGAAAGAGCAGAGCTGATTCTAATTATTCCCCCAAACCTCCTGGCCATAGTGATCTTTCCCTTGGTATGTTTTGTTCTACACATCTCTAATGTACTAATTTTTAAAAATTCAAAATGTAATAAATACCAGCAAAAGCAAATAAATGCATTTGCAAAATAAGAAAAATGTATGAAATTCAAACCTATTATAATGTGCATAATATTGAGGCATCATAGCATGGAGGATAGAGAGCTGGATTTGGAGTTTGGAACACCTGGGTTCAAAACCTGCCTCTGAAGCGAGATACCTGTGTGAAGCTGGATAAATCGTTTAAGCTCTCTCAGCCTCAGTTTCCTCATCTGTAACATGGGATAATAGCACTGCTTACCTACCTCAAAGGGTACCTTTGATTAGTGAGAAACAAATGAGATAATGTGTGTAACATGCTTAGTAAACTTTGAAGTGGTAAGTGAGCTATTATTAACAAAGTAAATCAACAGGCAAACAAAAATTCATTTGCTCTAGGTCTCCTTCAAAAAAATTTTATAACCAAAGAAAATTTAGTATGTTTAGCCTTGTTTTCTTTTTTATACATAGTTGTAATTCACAGATTGTGCTGCCTCTGCTTTGTGTCACATTATGTAACACTGGACTTTTTACAAAGAAATAGTGACTTCAAAAGATTTGATCACAAATATACAAATGTACCACTCCCCCTGCACCACATCAGGCTCTGGGGAGGGGAAGAGGATTCTCTTCATAGCTGAGCTCTTTTCCCATGCAGCACAGTCTTCTGTTCCAAGTCCAACATCCATCTCAGGCTCGAGTCCCAGGCACCCTGGATTCTCAGGGTTTCCATGCAGGACTGGCTGTCTATACCATCTCAACTGCAATCAGGGTGAACTCCCCAGTCCCCAGAAGATCACTTCAGCACCTGAAACTTATGACACAGAACAGAAATAAACACCACTAGACCTATTTCTTGGTGTTGTGGTAAAAGAGATGTAAGCAGGGAAAGGCAAATCCTTCCCCTTTTATCAGTTCAGTTCATAGCATCTATGCTGAACACAGTAGATAGGAGCCCCCCAAAAAAGCACCATAGAAAGATGGTGGAAAAGAGGTACTGCCAGAAAAAGAGTAAATGGCTCAGTCTTGCCAGTTTTAAAGCCACAGGCAACCAATCAAAGGAAGCTACCATTACCCATTAGGTAAGGGACACAGCAGGTTCTATGTCAAACAAACTGTGCATGCTCAAAAGTCTATCCATATAGACATGCTCAGGAATGCCCCCATGACAGAACCAGGCATGTCTAGAGAAGCCAGGGTTGCATAAGTCTTGACATTCTGCTAAACATTTCATATAGTATTTTGTATTATACATCAGTGTGGCATAATTCATAGAGAACTGGCCCTGAAGCTAAGACAATTTTAAGTCCTGTCTCTGATGTACATAGGCTGTGTGATTTTGAACAAGTCCCTTAAGTCTTCAGTATTCTAAGCAACTCTCTAAGACAAAAGTTGCAGAGAGATGCTGACCTGCATTGATAGAGGGCATTTCCTCACCCAAGAGTTCCCTCTGTCAATGAAAGCACAGATCCAGTCCCTTTCCCTATTTTGTGTTATACTTATATTTCTTTGTGCTCTATTCCTCACTACAGTAAGATCCATGGCATCAGGGACTATATCTTACCTAAACTTTCTGTTTCTTCCAGAACATAGCTCAAAGCTCTGCATACTATAGACATTTAATAAATCAGTTGGTTGGTTAGCTGAATGAATGAATGAATGAATGAGTGAATGAGTGAATCTTACTTCTCACCCTTTCATTCCAACTCCAAGTTCCTCTCCCTTTCATTACCAATTAGCTAATCAATATTTCTAGCTTTCTGAGTCCTGCTCCTCCATGGTCTGCTTTAGCACCTGCCATGTTTCCCTACTGCCAATCTGTTTGCCCAGTTCCTCTTGCTCATATGGATTCTTATTTGGTATTTTATGCTGATATCTCTCTCCTATATCCTCAGTTTAGTGAGAACATGACATGTTCATGTCTACCTCTGCAATATTTCCAATGCTATAGCTCCTGCTTGGAATGTGCATTTTACTCAACCTATTCAGATTCTACACATCCTTCAGGGCATGGCCCAAGCCTAATATCCTCCATGAAATACACATTGCACTTTCCCCATTATGTAATTCTATAGAAACAGAGAGTACTTTGTACTAGTACCTAGCAGTCCTAGATTCTGGTCTCAGTTCTTCCACTTTGCAGTTGAATGATTTGGGGCAGGTCATAGAAGTTTAGAAAGGGAAGGGACTACCCAGGTCTAGTCTAGTGTTTCCTAGCTTCTGGTTCATTGTTCTATTCCTTCCCCTTTTGGTTATATTCTCTCTCTCTCTCTCTCTCTCTCTCTCTCTCTCTCTCTCTCTCTCTCTCTCTCCCCCTCTTCCTCCTCCTCCTCTTCCTTCTCCTTTTCCTTCTTCTTCTTTTTCTTCTCCTCCTCCTCTTCCTCCTCCTCCTTTTCCTTCTTCTTCTTCTTCTTCTTCTTCTTCTTCTTCTTCTTCTTCTTCTTCTTCTTCTTCTTCTTCTTCTTCTCTCTGTCCCTCGATTTCCCTTCCCTCCCCTCTCTCTTCCCCCTCTGCTCTTCAGGCTCTTCTTCTCTACTTGCTCCTTTCCCACTATCTCCAAAAATGTTCAGTGTTCCACTGTTTATTTTAAAAAAAAAACCTCTCACTTGACCTAAAAGCTATTGCTCTTTATCTCAGTTTGAAGTCAAAGGACCTGAGTACAAATCTTGCTTCTGTCACTTACTATCTATGTGACCTTGGGTAAGACATTTAACCTCTCTGAGGTTCAGATAGATACCTCATCTTTAAATGGTAGGGAGGGGTAGGGTTGGACTAGATGATGTCTATGGTCTCATTCAGATCTAAATCTATTATCTATAGTGCTCATTTTCACAGCCTAATTCACAGCCTAAGATCCTTTTGGAATACAACTGTGACTGTACTGTTTAGCTGCTAAGGTCTCCACCAACTCTAAATTCTGTGATTCTGTGAATTAAATGAGTAGTTAGGACTATGTCTCTAGTCACTTGATTCCTGGCCAGAACTGATTCTACTATCCTGCTCTGCTCTTGTATGTTTATACCACTCATTTCAATTCATTTTAATAAACATTGTGCATTCCAATATATGTATCAATGCATTTCAATAAACATATGTAAAGTACTCTGCTAGGTACTGGGTACAGAAAGACAAAATGAAATTTACCTTGTCTTCAAGGAGCTTACATTTGAATGGGGTGTATGTGAAGGGGAGGGGAGTGGAAATGCAGGAGATGGTATGTTGAGTTAGGGGCACATCTAGGAGTCCAATCTGGCTGGAATATAGAGTGCATGAAGGGGCATAAGGAAGGGTAATATGAAACATTGCTCAATTTAAGTCCTTTCAATTCCATATCCATTGTATCTATCCAACATGTATGTATTGAGAGACCAGATCTATGAGCCATCCTTCTAAATGCATACCATCATTTGGACAGTAGACATTTTTTCAGACATTTATTTGTTTTAGTGATTTTCGATCTCAGCAAGAAGACTGCAATTTTCCATGGCTTGATGTAATCAGCATAATGTCAGCCACAAACAGGAACATCTAGAGGACATTGCTAACAACTGGGAATTCCTCTTCTACTTGAATTCCACACTGGACACCTTCAATGGTGCTAGCAAATACCTCTGGTATTTGTTTTAGGCCTTACTTGATTATGATAATCAGAGGATTATAATAATAGTGGCTAGCATTTATATAATATTTTAAGATTCCTAAAGCCCTTTTCAGAAAATTATTTCATTCTGTGCATACCTTTGACCCAGCAATAGCACTTCTAGGGCTGTATCCCAAAGAGATTACACAAATGGGAAAAGGACCCACATGTACAAAAATATTCAGAGCAGTTCTTTTTGTGGTGACAAAGAATTGGAAATTGAGAGGATGCCTATCAATTGGAGAATGGCTGAACAAGTTGTGGTGTATGTATGTAATGCAATACTATTGTGCTATAAGAAATGATGAGCAGGCAGACTTCAGAAAAACCTGGAAAGACTTGTATGGACTGATGCTGAGTGAAGTGAGCAGAACCAGGAGAACAGTATGCACAGTAACAGCCACGTTGTGCAATGACTAACATTGATAGACTTAGTCCTTCTCAGCAATGCAAGGACATAAGACATCTCCAAAGGTCTCATGATGAAAAATGCTATCCTTATCCAAAGAAAGAACTATGGAGTTTGAATGCAGATCAAAGCACACTATTTGCTATTTTTTTCTTCTGTTTTGTTTTGTTTTCTCTTTTTGATGGTTCCTTCTGTTGGTTCTAATTCTTCCTTACAACATCACTAATGTGAAAATATGTTTAACAGGAATGTATATGTATAGCCTATATCAGATTCCAAGCCATCTTGGGGAGGGAGGTGGGTAGGGAAGGGAAGAAAATTTAAAACTCAAAAGCTTATGGAATTGATTGTTGATAAATCAAAATAAGTTAATTAAAAATGCTATTCATGTTAAAAAATATTTCATTTTATCCTAACAATAATCCTGTGAGGTAGGTGCTATTATTATCATCTTTGTTTTATAGATGAGGAAACTGAAACAAAGACCTTGTACCCAGGGTCACACAGCTATACATGCAGTCATATTTGAACTCAGGTGTTCCTGCCTTCAGGTTCAGTGCTCCATCCACCATGCCTATTATTATAATATATTTTGAGTTACATATTATTATAATATCTCAATATGGCTTGCAGGGAGCCTAAGTATTGTAATAAGTAGATTGAATCAATTAAGCAATGCTTTATGATTTTAACATGCATGTGAGAGATAATTTGTTGAGAGAGCCCAATTTTGCTCTAAAAAAATTAAACACTTTTTAAAAAAATGGTCAATAAATGACTAAGCAGCTAAATGGCTCATTAGAGCACTACTCATTAGAGTCAGAAGATCTGAGTTCAAATTCTGATTTCAACACTTACTGGCTGTGTGATCCCTTGGCAGGTCCATCTGTTTCCTTGTCTGTAAAATGAGGCTAATAATAGCACCTACTTCACAGGGTTATCGTGACAAGCAAATAAGCTAAAACATGTCAAGCTGTTTGCTAACCAAGCTGTACATAAATGCTAGTTATTATATAAAACAAGCTTAATGAGGTCTTGTTTTTACGTACTTGTAAGTCAATTATATGACCATGAAGATGTGGTCTGCTTTAAAATACCGCTTGTGAAATATTCTCTAATTCTCATATTTTCACCAAGTATGTCTTTGATATATATGTTAATTAATATTATAAAGATTTTTTATAGATGAGAAAGTAGGCATGTGGATCAGAATTTATTGATATCAGTGCCCCATTTATGGTAGCATAATATATGCTAATATGTGTAATTCACACATACTAATATACAAAATAATAATTCAAATTATTTTTCCAATAATTCAGCTCTTACTCTCTTTCGGATATCATGAGATTGATTCCTCAACATTCTTAAGACTTTGGTCTTCAGTGTAGACATCCCTTGTTTATACTTGGTCTGGTTTACCTGCTCTATCTTTGTTTTCTTTAGTGCCATTTCTGGGGAGCTAGGTGGCATAGTGGATAGAGTACTCAGCTTGGAGTCAGGAAGACTCATTTCCCTAAGTCCAAATTTGACCTCGGACATTTATTAGCTATGTGACCCTGGGCAAGTCACTTAACCCTGATTGTCTCAGTTTTGTCATCTAGAAAATGAGCTGGAGATGGAAATGGCAAACCACTCTAGTATCTTTGGCAATAAGATCCCAAATGGGATAGTGAAGAGTCGGACACTACTGAAAAACAACTGAACAACAATAACAGTACCATTTCTATTTCCTCATGTAGGATGAGACTCTCATATTAAGATC